ACTTGTTCTAAGATATTTCAAGATCCATGGAGAATCTGCACCATGTCTTCCTGATGATTGCTACTCCTCCACATCCAGTCCCCACATCTCTCGCCCACGTGATGAAAACAGCCTCAGAAAAGGTACCCCTGCTTCTCTACCCTCACCCCTGATGGCCCATTCTCCATATAAAAGCCGGGGTCAAGCCAGTCTACGGTTCTGCTCAAACCCTCCAATGATTCCCCATTGTATTCGAGCAGAAACAATGTCTGTGCAGCAGCCTCAGCCCCTACTGCTCTCCCCTCTGCTCCCCACTTCTGAAGTCCTTAGCACCCAAGGGTGCATGACCCCTAGGTCCTCTGCACCACATCCGTCCTCTCTGCCCAAGACACTATCCTGCCCTCACAGCCATTTGGCCGATTCTCTTCCCACCCTTCCAGTCTTTGCTCTATTCTTCTTTTCTCAGGCAGGAGGCCCACCTTGGCCACCCTGACACCTAAGTTCCCTCTCACCCTCGCCCTAGCACCCTGAGGCCCCTCAGCCATCTTTTTTCTTTTCCTCTTCTTTTTTTATTGCAAGTATTCCTTTCTATCAGACTACATGACTTGATTTGTTGTTGTTGTTGTTGTTGTTGTTGTTGTTTTTTATCACCTCTTGTCCCTTGCTTGGATAGAAGCACCTCCAGGGCTTGCGACACAGTGTGTCTGCTGAGCTATTGTCACCCCGAGCAGCAGCCCCGGGCACAGTCATCACCAGAAACCGGTTTAAGAGATGAATCAATCAATGCAGGTATCAGCATTGTTGTGAGTCGGACTCCTTCTTTTTAGTGGGTGTGGGGAAGCAGAATTCCTTCAAATTTCCCCCGTCATGGGTACTCAGGAAATTATTTAGGGCGGGAATGGTTTGACTTTTGTGCTGGACGCAAGTAGCTTCGTCAGAGATGTGCTGGGCCCGGTGCCAGAGCCACCTCGAGGAACTCCACGGGTTGCTCCAGTAGAAACTGGACTGCTTGTTCTGCCCAGATTTCTAATAATGATCTTGTTAGCAAAACTACTTTGACAGGCGTTTTCAGGACCACCATTTTGTGATGACACTGTAAACCGAAAGATTGGGACACCTGGGTGGCTCAGTGGCTGAGCATCTGTCTTTGGCCCAGGTCATGATCCCAGGATCCTGGGATCAAGTCCCACATCAGGCTCCCTATGGGGAGCCTGCTTCTCCCTCTGTCTATGTCTCTGCCACTCTCTCTTTGTGTCTCTCATGAATAAATAATCTTTTTTAAAAAATAAAAATAAACCAAAAGATTAACCTCAGCTTGAATGATTTTTTTTAAAGACCAGAAAATTATAAACTCGCTATTGCATTTTTTTCCCACCAGTTTTTGTGACTTGTGGGTGTTAGGTTTCCATATAATAGTCATGAAAGCAAGTAGCCCTCATAATGCCTCTGTAATGTGTGCAGTAACAGTCTTAGATACAGTTAGGTTGCTTCAAGGGCTTCTGTTCTTTATTCATTTTCTATAACACGGGTTACAAAAAAATAGAGGTTGTCATACTCGGTAGTTGGTTATAAAGCTATGAGGCTGTATTTGGTTTGTGGATTCTTTTTTACACTAAGAAGTTTTTATTTCATTAAAAATTTTCGTTAAAAAAATAAAAAATAAAAAATAAAAATTTTCATTAAAAGTTTTTATTTCATTTTTTGCATTAAAATATTTCAAACACACAGGAAATTATCCTTATAATTCTACAGGCCAGGAGCACCTGGATGGCTCATTCATTTGAGGGACCAACTCTTGGTTTTGGCTCAGGTCATGATCTCATGGATCATGGAATCGAGTCTGCTGCCTGGCTGGAGCTAGGGGAGAAGTCTGCTGGGCATTCTTTCTCTCTTCCTCTCTCTGCCCTTTTGCCCCTCCCCCCTGCCATCACACCAGCCCACGCTCTCTGTCCCTCCCTCCCACCCACCCCCAAATAAATAAATGAGTACAGCTTTATAATTCTACATGCCAAACACCTGCATAATTCCATCCAGCATTATCAAATAGTATTTTGTTTTTAACATGAAGTTATATGGCTGCCTATATAGCTAAAAAAAAGTGACATGATACTATGTCACTCGATTTTTATTTTGGTGAAAAATCACCAAATTAATACATCAGAAATGAATATTTCCAGATGCCTTAGCTCTCTCTAATCCTGTACTATTATTAAAATATGTTCTTACAGTGCCTCTGTGATATAATTACCTTAGATCTGATGTCCTGTACTTCAGTTGATACAGTTGATAGTACAATTCATGTGGCAGGTAACATTAGTGAAGTGAAAAAAGAGTTCATGAAGTACTTAGGCATCATTGAAGAAAAATATTAAAATATAATACTCAGTTCATTGAATGTTCTGCTATTTATTTATTTATTTATTTATTTATTTATTTATTTATTTTTAAGTAAGCTCTATGCTCAGTGTGGGGCTTGAACTCATGACCATGAGATCAAGAGTCACATGCTTCACTGACTGAGCCTGCCAGATATGCCCCATGAAATCTGTCTCTTTAAAAATATTTTAGGGGGAAAAAATATTTTAGGGGCACCTGGGTGACTGTGCCACTTAAGTGTTCAACTCTTGGTTTCAGCTCAGGTCATGATCTCAGGGTCATGAGACCAAGCCCCGCGACTAGCTCTGTCCTCAGCACAGTTTGTTTGTCCTTCTCCCTCTGCTCCTCCCCCGACCCCCCATATCTAAAATAAATAAAGCTTTTAAAATATTTATTATACAAAAAAACTAAAGTTAATTTTTTTTTTTTTACCTAAAAGTTCTGTAATTCCTGACTAAATATCAGAATCCTCATCAGTTAATAGGCAATCTCTCTCTTGGTTATAGTATTTTACTATGACATCAAAGAGCATCTTCTTATGTATTCTCAATCTTATCTTTTGCAGTTTTGTACTAACTGCTGATTAGCTGTGGCTATAACTGGTCAGGGAAATATTCAAACATTTAATTGTTGCATTAATAAGCTGATTGTCAACCCCAGAGGTAAAAACAAACAAACAAAACAAAACAAAACAAAAACACAAAAAAACAAAACAAAAAACAACAAATCAATAGTTAACATTTCCACTAAACTACCTAAACACTGTTTGATAACATCTAATAAAGTCTAGCTTACATTTAATCAGATCTAAAGAGACTAATTTTGAGAAGAATTTTAATAAATTTTGCTGGATGATTATGAGAGTAAATTAGAGAGAATAGCTTTTTTCTTCACCAAATACCACCACATACATTTGTTTTCAAGGAATTAAAATATTTTTTGGTCACCTTTTCATTATTTCTAGTTTTCCTAGGTTTTGTTCAGAGGAGCTCATCTGCACTTGGTGTTTCCATGAGGGATTCCCTTGCTTTTCCCACTTCAATTATTTTTTTTTAACTTAAAAAAACTTTTTTTATTGGAGTTCAATTTGCCAACATATAGCATAATACCCAGTGCTCATCCCTCCAAGTGCCCCCCTCAGTGCCCATCACCCAGTCACCCCAACCCCCCTCCCACCTCCCTTTCCACTACCCCTTGTTCGTTGCCCAGGGTTAGGAGTCTCTCATGTTTTGTCACCCTCACTGATATTTTCACTCCTTTCCCTTTATTCCTTTTCACTAATTTTTATATTCCCCAAATGAACGAGACCATATAATATTTGTCCTTTTCCGATGGACTTATTTCATTCAGCACAATACCCTCCAGGTCCCTCCAGGTCTCTTTATTATTTATTCATAGAGACACACACACAGAGAGAGAGAGGACAGGACAGACAGACAGACAGAGAAGCAGGCTCCACGCAGGGAGCCCGATGTGGGACTGGATGTGGGACTTGATCCCGGGTCTCCAGGATCACACCCCGGGCTGCAGGCGGCGCCAAACTGCTGGGCCAGTGGGGCTGCCCTATTTTTAACTCTTTGAGGAACCTCCACACAGTTTTCCAGAGTGGTGTTCTGTTATTATTTGAAAAAAAGATACTAAATATTTGCCCAATCAAGATGCATTTTTATTCCACCATAACATATGTGACGAATTATCTTCTAGATTCTCATGTTGCAGATGAAAAGTTTAATGCCAGTTGAATTACTTTTCAACTGGAAATGCCAACCGATATACGGCCACCTGGCTGCTGTTTCCTGCAGTGGAGTCTAAGGAAACCCTGTTTCTCTGATGGTATCCCTTTGCTCTCCCTGTCTCAAAGGCCGAGGAACACTCAGCCATTGTTTGGGTCTTTCTTGGCTCATTGTGAATTAAAGAAACCTACCATGTGCAAATAGGACCACAGTTGACTAAGTGGGTCCACAGGTCCCTATCACCTAACACCTCCCAGGATCTGAAGCTTTCTGGTTCTCAGCCTTAGAGTCTAATGTTCTTTTCTTATTTGGCTGATGTGGGAGAAAGCATCAGATATCAGGATCTCCCTGCTGGAATCCTAACAGGACCCAAGGTTTTATACTTCTAGTTATTGAGAGCTGATTTATGCAAGAGTGATGGGTACTTTGGAGTTAGGAGGGAGACTCATTCAGGTTATATGGTTTCCTGAGCATCTCCACAAATGAATCTGGTTTTTTGATAGGGCTTATCTCATTGGACTGTGATGTTTTGTTCTATGAATATCTCCCCTACGAGGTGATAGATTCTTGCAGGGCAGAGATAAGCAAACTGGTAGAAATTGTTGGTTTTGTTATCTTAGGGTCATAAAGCAATGATAGAACCTTGGAAAACACTCAGGGTTGGCACAAGGAATGGATGATTGACAAATCATTACTGAATTCATATGAATGAAACCACTCTGATTTCCAACGATCTCATAGGTCATAACCGGTGATTTTCTATGTTAGATCAAATAAGAATTCACAATAATTTATAAAACAGAGATGTTGTTAGCATATATGTATGGTTGTGTTCTTAGAACTTAACATGCCAAGGACAAAATATGTGAAAGGATTTTTTAGCTATAAATTATTTAAAATAAAAATGATCATTTACTCAGGTAGACATAAGCTTAGAACAACCTCTCTGTCTAGAGAAGTGTTTGAGAGAATAAGATCTTCCTCCTTACTTAACTGAAGAATTTGTATTTTAATTGAAGCCTCCAAAATATTTTCCAAGAATGGAAGGTGAATCAGTTGAAAAATACATAGCAATATCTGTGGTTTCCAAACAGCTTAAAACAGAATTAAGTAACCATCAGGTTGATAAATAACATCCACACAGCCAACCAATATTATAAAATTCTTTCATACCTAAATGAAAAAAAAATAAAAGTTACCTTAATATGATATAATAAATGAATTTAATGTTAGGATCATTTAAATTTACTGAATTACAATTTTTCTTTCCAAAATTAACCTTTAAATAGACATCAAAGTCACAAGTCACATTGATTTTATTTTCTACTAAGGTTGATTATAAAATGATATGATTTAGCTTTTATTGGTTGGTTTGTTTATTCATTTTTTAAGTAGGCTGCATGCCCAGCATGGAGCGCAGCATGGGGCTTGAACTCACAACCCTAAGATCAAGAGTTGGCTGCTTAACTGACTGAGCCACACAGATGCCCCTGATCTAGCTTTTATTTATTTTTTTAAAATTTTTTTAACATTTTACTTATTTATTAATGAGAGACAGAGAGAGAGAGAGAGAGAGAGAGAGAGAGAGGCAGAGGGAGAAGCAGGCTCCATGCAGGTAGCCTGATGTGGGACTCATGGCAGGACTCCAGCATCACGCCCTGGGCTGAAGGCGGCGCTAAACTCCTGAGTCACCTGGGCTGCCCTGATCTAGCTTTTATTTATTTTTTATTTTTTATTTTTTTAAATTTTTATTTATTTATGATAGTCACACAGAGAGAGAGAGAGAGGCAGAGACACAGGCAGAGGGAGAAGCAGGCTCCATGCACCGGGAGCCCGACGTGGGATTCGATCCCGAGTCCCCAGGATCACGCCCTGGGCCAAAGGCAGGCGCCAAACCGCTGCGCCACCCAGGGATCCCTGATCTAGCTTTTAAAGCCAACAATAGGTTAATTCCAAATTAAAAAAACTACTAGTCAAACTTATGAATTATTGTACACATCTGAGATAATATGAGATTACTAATTATAATTTTACTCAAAAAGGCAGAGATAACTGTAGTTTCTTATTTTTAAATTAAAATATAGTATTAGGTTAATCTTAACTTGAGTTTCTGGTCATTCCTCTTTAGAGTTCATGAAATTTTTCATTATCCTAATTATGAGATCATAATTAACGTTTTGTTTTTCCTTTAAATCAAAATTATAAAAGTAGTAGCTATAGTAAATCTTTCACAGAGCTATCAAACTGGTAACCTATGTATTAAATTTGGACCATAACTATGGATTGTTTGGTTGTAAAGTATTTTGAATAAAATTAACTTGTATAAAAATGGCAGCTTTCATGTAAAATTTTGGGTTTCAAGCTTCCCTATAAAAAAATTCATAAGATCTCATAAAACACCAGGTTTGAATTCAAATACTTGAGCACAGAGAGTTGATACAAGTTAGTGGTTACCCCCTTTGGATTGGCATGTTGTTTCCGGTTCACCACAAACCCAACCACTCCATTGTATCCCAGCGTGGTAGGGCCTCAGTTACCATTTTCATGATACTGTCCTGGTTTTTTTCTATAGTAAAAATCAATTTCCCTGTACATATTTATATGTCTATGATAAATGGGAAAAGAAAAAATAGCTTGTGAGGGCTATACATTTCAAGCAAAACAATGCTATATATATATATATTTTTTTACATGTCTGATATTTAAGTACTCCCTGGCTCTCTGATCTCTCTGGCTCCCAAAAACTTCTTAGTTTGCTACCTTTGAGTTAATGGCCAAAAATCAAATCAACAACCTTTTAGTAAAGATTTGAGATCATACATGGCCCCTAATCAATCAGGCCATGTTAGTACCAACCTTTTGGCCTGGTACTGAATAGGTGTTAGAAAAAGATATATAAAGACTAATGGACCTTTAGAAGCCAAACTCTAAGTAAGAGAGACTGGGATAGCCACATATGAAATGTGCAAAGGCAAGTTTTATGAAGTCACTGAGAAGGACAAATAGATATATTATAAGTAAGTCCAAAACTGGAAAAAAAAGAGTATTCTGCAGGAGCATCAAGACAGGACGTTAATTTATTCAACAAATGTTTATTGAGACTTATTTTGTGCTAGACACTGTTCTACATGCCAGGAATATAATGATACCCCAACCAGGCAAAAATCCTTGCCCTAATGGAGCTTATATTCTAGGGTGGAGGGGAGGGATGCAATAAATAGACAAACAAAAAACGAAATATGTCGTGTGTTGGTTAGTGGTAAGTTCTATGGAGAGAAAAGAAGAGAAGCAGGGCAAGATGGGGTAGTATTGCGATTTTAAATAAGATGTGTGGGAACTAACATTGGGAAGATGATATGTAAGCAAGGATCTCAAAGAGATGGAGCAGAGAAATGTGCGTGTCGAGAATGCAGCAGCTCAATGCAGAGATGATAAACAAAATAGCTCATTCTGTGCAGTGAAATAAAACTCAAGAAGGATATATTTTTTTAAGATTTAGGGGGGAGTAGGAGCGGGGGGGGGAGGAGGAGCAGAGAGAGAGAGGGAGAAAGACAAGTAGATTCTCTGCTGAGCATAGAGCCCAACTTAGGGCTTCATGTCATGCTCTGAGCCGAAATCAAGAGTCGGCCGCTTAACCAACTGAGCCACTCAGGCCCCACAAACTCAAAAAAGGATATTGTGGCAACACTTACCATCACCACGGTCATCTTTATGGAGCAGTTCATATTCAAGTGACCATTGTGCTGAGTGATGAGGATGCAAGGGGGAGAGCATCTGCATCTGATGAATGTACAATTTGTCCAGTGTTTAGGATAGCTTATGCACACACACACACACACACACATGTGCACCAGGTATATATGCATAGGATGTATATATAAAAAGAAGATATTATTCAATGAGGAGACTGTACTTGCGCCATTAATCCATGAAACTTTTATACACCCTACCCACAGTGAGGCGCTATGTTATTCAATGTGGATGCAGTGGTGGATGAGAAAAGGACTGTCCCTAAGTACCTCACACTATAGTGGGAATAAAGACAAGTAAACAGGCAATTTAATGAAGTGTACAAATGTTTTAGTAGGAGGAATACAGTGTGTTCATTAGGATGCAAATTTTGTTTTGACTGAGGAAACCTTTGTCCAAACATATTCTGGAAGTCAAGTGAAACCTATTAACGGTAGAGTTGCCCTAGCTGATATAGGCAGTTGAGAGACCTACCCTACACAGGTGCGGGAGAGGTTGATTCTGTACCCTAACATTTCTAAAATGATACACATATGTTCTTGCAACATTAGTCATAATATTATTAGTAAAAAAATCAAATAACTGTAAAAAGCAAACAAATGTCAGCAGAGGTGGTTCATCTTAATGCTTCTTGCCAAACAGATGCAAATTTGCAGTGAATCCTGCAGCGATCACACTGCTTTACCACTGTTGGCAGAGTTCTCAATTCAAGTGAAGTAGTTCTTGCAGTTATTGGAAAATTAAGAAATGGCTTTTCTCATAAATAGGGGAACTAATATTTCTATTTCTTGACTGACATTTATATAGGTGTGTTTCCAATTGCATACCTTTAACCAGCCTTTTTTTTTTTTAAAGTAAGCTGTACATTCATGGGGCTTGAACTCACAACCAGAGATCAAGAGTCACATGATTTCTTTTCTTTCTTTCTTTCTTTCTTTCTTCTTTCTTTCTTTCTTTCTTTCTTCTTTCTTTCTTTCTTCTTTCTTTCTTTCTTTCTTTCTTCTTTCTTTCTTCTTTCTTTCTTCTTTCCTTATTAAGATTTTTAATTTATTCACTTGAGAGAGGGAGAGAGAGAGAGAGAAAGAGAGAGCATGAGTGAGAGCAGGAGGTTGGGGCAGGAGGAGGGGAATCACAGAGAGAGGGAGAAGTAGACTCCCTCTTGAGCAGGGTGTCTGGGGATCATGACCTGAGCTAAAGGCAGACACTTAACTGACTGAGCCACCTAGATGCCCCAAGAGTCACATGCTTTTATCAACAATAGCTAAATTATGGAAAGACCCCAAATATCCACTGACTGATGAATGGATAAAGAAGATGTGATACACACATGCAGTGGAATAATTACTCAGCCATTCAAAAGAATGAAATCTTGCAAGAAAAAAAAAAAGAATGAAATCTTGCCATTTGCAACAACGTGGATGGATAGAGAGAATATTATGAAATGAGTGAAATGAGTCACAGAAAGACAAATATCATGATTTCACTCTCATGTGCAATTTAAGGAACAAAACAGATGAACATAGGGGAAAGGGAAAAAAAGAGAGAGGTAAACCGTAAGGGAGACTCTAAACTATAGGGAACAAACTAAGTTACTGGAGGGGAGGTTGGGGGGATAGGCTAAATGGGTGATGGGCATTAAGGAGGGAGGGCACTTGTGATGAGCACTGGCTGTTATATGTAAGTGTTGGAACACTAAATTCTTCTCTGAAACTAATATTATACTACATGTTAATTAACTAGAATTTAAACAAAAATTTGAAACATAAAAGAAAAAAAAGAGTCATATGCTCCACCAACTGAGTCAACCCGGACCTTTAACCAGCCATGTTTTGCCAAATGCACTTTCTTCAAAAAGTTTTGGTTTGAAAATTTAACTTCCAAGCAAGTAAAATTTTTTTTTTTGCATTAAATACAAGAACAGTCAATTTTAACATTAGTTCTCTTTTGCAAACCTTTTTTTACAAACAAAAACAAAGACAACCCCTTCTCCCCAAACTACTAGATTTAAGAGGCTTTTGAAGATGAAGAGATTTCTTATTAGTAACTTATTAAAAACTCCTCTGAAAACTATGCTTTTATGAGAAAGAACTAAAATAATGTTTGTGTTTCTCTATTCCGAAGGCTGACACATTCAGTTGTGATAAAGGGCAAACATGCCAAATACGTTTCACTCATTCTCATTTTATAAGTTAGCAACACTTTGCTGCAATAAGAATGATAAAGCACTGATAAAAGTATGGAAATCTAAGTCCAAATCTTGATGCCATTAGTTAAGTGTGGAAACTTGGCAACTTATCTAATTTTTCTGTTTCTTTATCTATAAAATAATCAGTCTAAACTAAAGCAGTGGTTTCCAGACCTGGCTGATTCTTGTTTTAACATAAAAACTCTCTTTTTTCTTTTTACAAAACTTAATAGTTTGTTTTGTGACTTAATGTTTAGAATTTCAGGCTAAATGGTATAGATTTAAATCTACCCATATTCCTCCTAATTTCATCCAACATTTTTTTATTAAATATGTCACACGTAAAAGAGTATATAAAAACATGTACTATTTAAAGCGTTTTGGGCGGGGTGGGCCTGGGTGACTCAGTCAGTTGAACATCTGACTCTTGGTTTTGGCTTGGGGTCACCATCTCAGGGTCCTGGGACTGAGTGGGCTCAGCACTCAATGTTAAAAGTCTGCTTGAGATTCTCTCGCTTTCCATCTGCCCCTCCCACCACTCATGCTCTCTCTCTAAAATAAATAAAATCTTTACAAGAAGCAAATTAATAGATGTACACAAAACTGAAAGATCATGAAACGGCATTATTATAAGCATGCTGTTTAGAAATAGGAGATACAAGTTATAAATGGTTGCCTCTCAGGAACTGAGTGAAAGTAGCAGGGTAGGGAACTCCGAGTTTTTGTTAATAAAACCTGTAGGACCATTTGAATGTATCACATTCAATAATAATATTTTTAAAAATACATCAGAATGCCAGCTTTCTTCCTATACTGTGTCTTAGGGATTCATTTATCCTTCAGAGTCTCAGTTTCCCCAACCATTACATGGGAGTTTTATCCCTTACTCAGGCCTATTGTTAGGTTATAAATAATATATACAAAATGCATAACAAATTGTGTAGTACAAGGAAAGGCCCAATAACTGGAAGCTATTTTTATTAGTGTATTTACTGATAAATTACACTCATCTTTATGTTAGGAATTTCTAGAGATATACTATATCCCCAAGGGGAAGTGATGGGACAATTTTTTTTAAAGATTTTATTTATTTATTTATTCATCACACACACACACATACACACACACACACACAGAGGCAGAGACACAGGCAGAGGGAGAAGCAGGTTCCATGCAGGGAGCCCGATGTGGGACTCAACCCGGGTCTCCAGGATCACGCCCTGGGCCAAAGGCAGCACTAAACTGCTGAGCCACCCAGGGATCCCCAATTTGCTTTTTTTTTATTCGTAGTACATAAGAATCACTTCCACTTGGTTCCTCATCTTCTGCCCATCCAGTAGTCTTCCTCAGGGTTCTCTTCTAGGCCCTCTTCTCTTATTATTGCTCTACTTTGGGCACTTTATCTTTCCTTTATCACACTTCTCCTGATTATTGTTATTTTTTTGCTCCTCCAAGGTGGAAATCATTCCTGTCTTGCTTCTTTAATGGTTTAAGCAAATGCAGCAAAAGATGTAACCACTAATGAGCTATGTATGCATCCCTCCTAACTGCCTGGGTATGAGGCTTTTCTTTCCACCTTCAGCGGCATCATAAGGAGAAAACTGCAAGTAGATGAAGTAAGAGGAGTAGAACAACAGGTTGCTTAGTTTGTCCTGAAATGTGAAAGTTAGGGAGATGTTTGGGAAGGGCCTATACAATGGAAAAAGGATACCCTTGCAAAAGATGGTCTTGGATTATAGATGGTAAGGACTGGTAATGAGCTTACATGTCTTTTTTTTTTTTTCTGGTAGTATGGATGATAGAACCTGATCATGGTCATTGTAAAAAATAAATATTATTGGATTTATGCTGCCTCACTTGTCTGATGCAATCACTACGTAGAAGGAAGCTCTAATAGAGGAGTAGAGAATCAATACGATAACCACTACTTTAATCATATTTGAAAAGTCAATTCTTGGAGATAGTCAAGAGATCAGTGGTTACCAGCAATTAGGAGGATGGGAAAGATGAAGAGGTGAAGTATAGAGATGTTCAGGCAGTGAAACTATTCTGTATGATTCTATAATGTTGGATGCATGTCATTATACATTTCTCAAAACTCATATAATATAACAACACAAAGAGTAAACACTAATGTAAACTATGTGGTTTGAATGATAATGATGAACCAGAGTAGGTTCACAGAGTGTAACAAATATATCACCTTGGTACAGGATGTTGATGTGTAATGGGGGCAGGGGATACATGTGGATTCTACTTTCTGCTGAATTTTTTTGTGAACCTAAAACTGTTCTAAAAAAATTAAGTAACTTAAAAAATCAGTTCTTCCTTACAAATTTCTGAAAGAATAACGACAACTGAAATAACCTTCTTTTGAAAGTGAGAGAACATGGATATTTGGAGGTAAAGCCACATTCCTACTCATTGTATGAATAAGTTCCTCTAATCTTTCCTCACCAATCCCTTGTGCTGGAGGATTTGAAATAATTTCATCTCCTAGTCTGTTAGGAAATAATATGTGAACTTTTCTATTATACTATATGTGGGATCAAAATTTCAAATATACATTTTAACCTATTAAAACTTATTTAGACATTTCCTATTTCCACAAAGGATTTCAGGGAGGTTACAATAAAATACATGAGTAATAAATTTATTAGATAATAGAGCATCACCAAAAGAGGACAAATTAGGATTATAAATAAAAGAGAAAGAATATATGTTAATTCCAAAGTCATTATGATTACTATGATGTGATAGAAAATTTTTACTGTGAGTTTTCTGATAACCTTGGATCTTTTTACTTTGGCTAAGTCATTTTTCAAAATTATAAAGCATTATGATCAAAGAAGATACAAGTTTTCCTGGTATAAATTCTTAAAAAAATTTATGTGGTACTGTCTTCCAGAGCAGTTTTAGAGCAAATGCAGACATGGATTAATTTCCCCATGGCTTTTCTTTTATTGGCTTCCGAATAAAACAAAAAACATAACATTTAAGTTTTGCTCAATGAAGACTGTTCCATAAGAGCCTAAACACAATGTATTACAGTATCTTGGCTAACACTAACCTTAAAGATTCCTTTGCTTATATTTCATCAGGTAACCCATTCCCAGATTCCTTTACTTCTTCTGAAAAAAAAAATAAAAAATATAAGATAATTTATGGCTTAGGAACCTGTAGAGACTACTGTTTGAATCTTCAAATTCTAATTCCTTTTAATTTTTCAATAGCTTTGTGATTGAAAAATACTTTGTGATTCATTAGAACTTGACAAACTCCGTTCAGAGGTGTCATTACTTCTTAGGCACTTATTTTGCATTAGATGACTTAATACTACATCAATGGCATTAGAACCAGTAAAACAGTCTTTGCATGTTTATAAATTATGCCTCCTTTTAACTTCCGCTTGAGTCTGAAGAGAGTGAATAATACCATCCTATAGCTGAGTAGATTGAAAAGGACCAGAGCATCCTGAAAAGAAAAAAATTAAATGTTTTTTACAAATTTAGGTGACACAAAAACATGTAAGTTTCCCGGTTTTGACAACCTTATGCTTTTATATGGCATCTCTGCTGCCAGTGTCTCCAGTTTTTCCTCCTCTCATCTTAAGTAAGCTATAACTTATTTACTAAGATTGCACCGTTTGTCTGCTGATAAAAAGAGTAAACCCAGGAACTTGCTTTACTGATATGAAATATGTTATTGTGTGAATTATATACCCTTAGTGTTGCATGATTAACTACTAGTGACACTTAATCTTGAATAATATTATTTTAGGGGATATTTAAAAGGAATGCACACACACACATTGGAGTCTTGAGTATTAGAGCTGCAGCTTCAAGAGGCTCTTTGCTTTCTCTTTTTTCTTTTTGCCTATTTTTGGGCAATGGCAAGCTTTTCATGAAAGAGATCTAGGGCAAGGAGCTGAATAAAACTAATCAATTTATCTACCAGTTATTCTGTAAGAAAAAAATTTGTGAGGAATAATGAAAACCTGAAAACAATAAAAATGTTGATCATCTGGGGGAACATTTAAGTAAATTATGTCATAGACTTACTGTGGAATATTGAACAGTAGGGAATTTGGAAGAGTAAGATTTATAGCACTGGAGGATTTCATTAAGTATGTAAAACAAAACAAAAATGAAAGACAAGTAGACATGTGTATACTATCATCTTAGTTATATAAAAATGAATTCCTGAATTACAAACATATATATGTAAATAAATAGAAAGGTCTAGAAGGGTCACCTTCAAACAATTAACCTTGTGTTCACGGTTTATTCTACATATTTGTGAACTTTCTAATAATAAACATTTATACAGGGTGCCTACGTAGCTCATTGGGTTAAGCCTCTGCCTTTGGCTCAGGTCGTGATCCCTGGCTCCCTGGGGAGCCTGCTTCTCCCTCTGCCTATGTCTCTGCGTCTCTCTCTGTTATCTCTCATGAATAAATAAAATATTTTTCAATTAGTTGGAGATAGTAAAATTTTTCTTTTTAAAATTTTTAATTGAGATATAATTCACATACCACAAATTCACCTTTTAAAAAAATTTATATCTTCATTTTTTAATTATTTAAAATGTACAATTCAACGGGTCTTTAAAGTGCATTTACGAAGTTGTGCAACCGCCACTGCGATCAAAACCCATACTTCAGCAGTCACTCCTCAATCTTCCGTATCCCGGTGAATTTTTAATTAAAACACTTTTTAGAATGACAAGGTACTAAGTTGAAACACCTAGACTGGTTTCTCGGGGTTGTGTTGTTAGAATCCTAGAATTTAAGCTCTTTCCTCCCTTGACTGGAAACGGGATGTCCAATTCCACATTATAGCCTGATGTTTACGACAAAACGACAGTAATAGAAGCCCCATCTATTAGGCCGAGATCCTGTGGATCGTGCGCAGTGTGGGGCAGGCAGTGGGACGTGGACCGGGAGGAATCCGAGGAGGCGGCGAGCGAGGGATGGGCGAGTCGGCCGAGGGCAGGGTGCAGTGGGGTGGAAAGGCGAGGAGCCTGGGATTGGTGCTGACAAGGTAAGGCCATCGGCCCCGTAACCTTCCTTAAACAAGCAGGCCGGGTTAAGGAAATACTTCTCGCGCTTGCCGCCTCCTACTTTAACTCTCTGTGGTTCTAAGTGTAGCCTTCTGAGCGGCAGCAGCAGCATTGGCGTCCTCTGGGAACTAAGGAGAAATGCAGAGTCAGACCCTACTCCCAACTGCATCTGAACAAAGCCCCCAGATGATCCGAGTGCGTACTGATGTTTGCGAGGCACGGCTTTCCCGGAACCGCAGGGAGAGCGCAGGGAGAGCGCAGGGAGAGCAGCTCCGGAGAAGCGGAGCAGCGGTTCGTCATCCAGGACCAGACAGAGCAGGTGCGCCGGGGAGGAGCGGCCCTCGGGAGCCAAGTCCGAGCCACCCGCTTCTTCAGGACGCATTTGGTTAGGATCTATAGGGCTCTCGGTCCTCCTGTCCCTGCAGAAGGCACCGTCAGGGCTCACGAAGGCCCGTCCGCCCGGCCCTGGATGGGGAAGCTCCCTCCGGCGGCCCGAGCCGCCCAGCCGCCCAGCCCAGCCGCCGGGTCAGAAGCACGGTCGCCGGCGCTGCGCCTCAGGCTCCGCCCCTGGCTCGTAACACCGCCCCCGAGCGCCGGGCCGGGGCGGGGCCTGCATTCCCGGCCCCGCCCCCTTCCGAGCCCGCCGGAAGTGACGTCATGGTCCGACTGGCCGGTCTCTCGGTCTTCTTCCCCCTCCCGTACTCTTCTTCCTCCCCAGTCCCTCCCCTCCCCTCCCCCTTCCCTCCTCCGGCTCCAGCCTCTGAGGCCGCGCGGGCGGAGGACGCTATGGAGTGAGGGGCGGCGACGGCGGCGGCCGGGCGCTAAGGCTGAGCAGGAGCAGCCGGGAAGCGTTTGGGGGGGCGGGGGAAACAAGCTCCAGCGCCGCCCCTCCGGGGAAAGAGGGGAAGAGGTGAGTGACCGCCCGCGGGCACCGGGCGATCTCCTCCACCTGCCGCCCTCCGTGTTGGGCTCCTGAGGCCCGCGAGGAGGGAATGGGGAAGGACCCGCACCCCGGGGTAGGCCTCCCGAGGCTCTTGGAGCTGGTGACTGTTGCCTGGTGACAGCCCTGCCGGCTGCCGGCCGGGACGGTGGGCGCCCGCGCGAAGCCGGGGCTGGGGGAGTGGCGAGCTCCGGGGAGCGGATCCGAGAGGCCCGGGTCCCCCGAAGAGGCCTCGAGGCGACGGGGGACCAGGGCCGGAGTCGTCTGCGGGAGGGAGAGCCCCTTTCTCGGGCCCTGGAGCTCGGGTTTCCGCGGTGGACATCTCGGTTCCCTTTTGGGAAATTGGAGCCGCCTCCGCCCCGGTCAGTCCGGTGGTCTGCACCTGATGACCTGGGTTCCCAACAGCGCCCCGCCGCCCGCGTCCTTTCCGACGGTAGCTGTAGTTCTGGAACGGAAGCTTATTGTGTGCGGTGGGTGGGGCAGGTGTGTTGTGAAGACTGACACCCCCCGCGGTGGCTCCTGCACTCTTGTTTTCCTAAGCGGGAGAGAAAGGTTGGAGGAAGGTTTAGAAGGATCAAGCTTGAAAAAACTTCTTGGGATCCCACTGAATACATACTTCCGATCGCTCATTACGGAGACCAATACTGTCAGGCCAACGCCTATAACTATCTTCATGAGACTGGACTCGGGCAACTTAAAAGTGCCATGTCAGGACTGCCTTAAAATTGTAAGTGCAAACTAGTTTTTTGTAGATGAAATTCAGGCATTATTTGTATGATTATTTTTTAATTTTTTTATATATTTTATTACATACTGGATTCTATGAATAATAAGTTTTCCAAGTAGCGTTTGCACCCCGCTCCATTCTGGAAAATTAACATAATTTAATGAAAATGCCCCAAACCTGCCTGTTACTTTAAAACTGATCATGTTCTGGTAGTGGCTTGAAAGTCAGATACTTGAAGCTTCCTTATAGACTTTGCAGGATTTTTTTTTGTCTGGCCTCCTGTCTTATTCTTTAAAATAAACGTTAATTTAAAAGCTTAAAATGGTTTATCAGGCGAGTGTATAAATAGAATTCTCGAGACAATATTACATTAGTCATAAAAAGATGCTTTTGGAGGATTGTGTTAAAGGAAAGGAACCTAGTGGAAGGTAAGGACCTTCCTTCTGTTCAGATCCACTTTACTCACATGCCAAAACCTATTCTTTTCTCTTTAAGATCAATAAGCAGCCAATAAAAACAGACACATTGTACTTCTATACAACAGAATACTTCTGAACAAATCAAACCAATAATTGTGAATAACTACCCTACCTACGTTTCAAATTCATTATTTACCCCCCAAGAAAAATAGGTTCTCTTGCTGTGTTTAGCTGAAGAGACGAGCGTCATCATCCCTTTCTCTAGGAGAAGTGTGATATCTTCCTGTCTCTCATGACTCATAGTAGTCTTTCTAGAAGTCCTATTAATTGGGCCTCTTGAACATGTCCACTCTTCATCTTCAGTACTAGTACTGTAGTTCCAGCCATCATCATCTCTCCTTTGATGAAAACGAGCTTCCTAGATGTGGCCTACTTGCATTTACTGTGGTCAGATCTGTAGTTTTCCACACCAGGTTGAGTGACTTTTTCAAAATGCAGATCTAATCACATTATCTTCGTGTGTAAAGCCCTTCAGTGGCTTTCATTGTTTTTAAGGGAAATTAGCATCCGGAACAGTCTGTTTTGGTCCCTGGTTGCCTTTTCAACGTCTTCTCCACAGTGCTTTCTGGCATTCTTCTCTCCTAGAGTCAGTTCTTTCTGTTCTGCTTCAAGTACATGGCTTTTAGTTATGATACTTTCTCTGCCTGGAAATACACTTCTTTTCCTGTTACTGCCTGTTCAGCTCAGTTCAGGGAAGACTGCTGGTTAGGATAGAGTCCCATAATGATATGTTCACATGACGCCATTGCAGAGTTGCTGTATTTATTAATTCTTAATAAATTAATGAGATATTTCTCATATGCTGTGTAAGTGCTTAATAAATGTTGAGTGAGTTCATTCAGTGCTTAATCTGCTAGGTAGTAAGCATTTTATGTGTTGTCATCCTTTTTTTTTTTTTTTTTAAGATTTTATTTATTTATTCATGAGAGAGACAGAGAGAGAGGCAGAGACCCAGGCAGAGCGAGAAGCAGGCTCCATGCAGGGAGCCCCATGCGGGACTCAATCCCAGGACCCCAGGATCATGACCTGAGCCGAAGACAGACACTCAACCATTGAGCCACCCAGGCCCCTGTGTCCTCTGAACAACCACTTGATATATATGGGTGGCAGGTCCCCCTTTTTATGGATTAGAAATAGTATTAGGGAGTAGTTGGTGGTCCCAGTGCTAATAAGTATTAGAACAGGCATTTGAACCCAGGTTTCCTTGCCACTGAGGATTGTGTACTTACTCCTATAACATTTAATTCTCACATTGCATCAGAACACCTGGGGAGCTGCTCAAAATACAAATATCCTGACTGCACATTTACAGATTCTGATTCCAAAGGTCTGAGATAGTAGATAGGCATCTGTGTGATTAGCAAGTTAGCCAGTCATTTGGATGTTATTATTAGATGTTATTTAGATGTTCATCAGTGTTTGAAAACCATTGCCTTAGACAACATTTCACTGCTTTATGAGTTACAGTTTTTACACGTTTTACTTCACTGTATTTCAGATTTTGTATGTTCTTAAAGCAAGGAAGAACTATAGACCTGAGGAAGTGAACTTAGTTGTCAGTTTAATTTCCTACCCAGTTTTTCCTTTTCCCCCTTCTCCAGTTTAACGGGCTGAGTAGTGAGATGCTTGCCACCCCAGTGCTGCTAGTTTTTTGAAATGATGGTAATTTTAAGAATCTGATTGCGTTTCTGTAGTAAAAACTACACTAAGTACATGGGCTTAAAGTGCCTTCAAAAGAGTTGGATGTGATCTCTCCTCAGATCTTATGGTTCAGATTACTAATTTGATATTTAAGCATATGTTGCCTTATAATTTCTCATGTTGCCTTTTAAGTCTTTGGTACAGTGTTCTTAAGTTTGTAAAGTGATGGAATGTTTTACTTCTTGTTTGTTGTTTCTCCTGCACCTAGTGTGGTGCTTTACACATAGTAGGTAACCAATAATTTGTTGAACAGACTGTGCATCTCTGTTCATTCCTAAGGCGTGTTAATATTTTATGTTTTTCTTAAATCAGGTTTGTCTCCTGTAAGTAATTTGTTCTAGCTCAATTGATAATTATTAGATACTTTATGTAGCTGTAAAGAGAATGATTGTCTTTGGCTGGTGTAATCTTTGTTTTTTGAATAAGATTAAACATGATGGAAATGCCAAAGGATACTGCTAACCTTTTTTTTTTTAAACTGTATCTTTTTATTTTTTTTAATTTTTTTTTTTTATTTATTTATGATAGTCAGAGAGAGAGAGAGAGAGAGAGAGGCAGAGGCAGGGGGAGAAGCAGGCTCCATGCACCGGGAGCCCGACGTGGGATTCGATCCCGGGTCTCCAGGATTGCGCCCTGGGCCAAAGGCAGGCGCCAAACCGCTGCGCCACCCAGGGATCCCTAAACTGTATCTTTTTAAAGCTTATAGTAGTCTCTGAGTGCTCTCATAAGAAAAAAAAATGTAATTCAAGAATGTATCTCAGAGTCCTCTTTAGATGTAAACAGATAAGTACTGCATGTGGGAATGTAAGGTACGACATTTTTCCCAAATCTCATGAATCACTTTCCCCAAAAGTATTTGTGTCATGTTAATGTAATTTTTATATGAATCACAAAATCTCATTTTATGAATATTTAACTATATAAATCACTGTATATAAGTAATATTCTTTTATTTTCAGGCATTTACATAGAAGTCTCAGACACTTGTGCCTCTTCAAGGAATAAAACTATTTTGAGTTGATTGGTATTTATTTGCATTGTTCATTAGTGGTCAGTGTGTATTATTTTGTGCTTATTGAAAGACTGGTTTCTACTAGGTGCCGTGAGACTAATAAGCACTGAACAGAATTTCATTATCAGATGTAATCATAATAACTTTTTTATTTGCATTACAGAATTTCCATAACACATAAATACATAATACAGGTTAGTTCTACTTTTTAATATTTCATTCTTGGGGAAGTAAGGGATTTGCAGTTGTGTTACTTGAAAATGCAGGAATTTTTTTTTTTCATAAATCTAATTTTACCTACTATATTTCTGCTATTTCTAGAGTTTATGCGTAGGCAGACTGAAAGAATTGCCAATTCCTTTCAGCTACCTGCCATCAGGTGCTGTAACAGCCCAGCTTCTGGCAAGTATGTGTACAATTTTGTATTGCATCAGATTTACCTTCTGGTTCTACCAAAAGCCAAGTTATGGCTGAGCCAGATGTTAGAGAGTTATAGTCTTGGAATCATAATTAAGTTGTCCCAGATCTTGTTTTGACTGAGATTTAGAGGGAAAGATGAATGAATTTCAGGTAAATTCTGCTAGTGGTATACAGTGGGAAATGGCTTATATCCATGGACATTCCTGTTGTTTTATAGCTTTGTGTCTGGAAAAGATGGGCTTTTTTCTTTATCCAGCAATCAAGTGAAAATTTGAAGAGCTACTATTTTAAGAAAAGATATTTGGACTCTAAGTTTCTTATATGTTAAAGGGATGCTGCTAATAATTCAAAATCTCATTTAAATTCAGGTCTTCTTTTAGAAGTTCTTTCAGTTCATCTGTCTTCAGCCTTCTGTTACTCTCATGATATTCTTGGCTAACCTTTTTCAAGGTTTTAGCCTTAACTGCTGTACTGCTTATAAGCTCATGGTAATCAAAGTTTTGTCTTCAATCAAGGCTTTTTTCCCTAAGTTTTTGGCCTATGTATCTAAAAACCTACTAGATATATCTATATGTGAGTGTCATTCAGGCAACTCAACTTCAGTGTGTCCAAAATTGAATTCTTCCTCCACAAAACCAAGAGTTATCCCCTTTAAATCCTGCCTGGGTAAATGGCTTTGCCCTCTGTCTAGACTCTGAAATGGGAGACCTGATTGGGATTCCCAGTTTTGTCCCTTTTCTTTATCTATAGATAAAGTCACTAACTTCTCTTAGTTCTAACTTGTACTTGTTTCTAACTTTTTCTTTTCTTCCCTTCCTTACTATTTATTACCTTACTTCAGCAACCTCTCCTTCTGTTAAAATATGTTTAAAATTTGGTATATAGTACATAAAAGTATGTAGCAAAGTTTAATATGTAATTATAAAATAAATATCCATGGAACACCTTTGAAACCCCCTTCTTCCCACCATCTCTTCCCTATCTTCCCTGTCTCTATTTCCAGGTATCTTTTCCTTTGTCTTCTTGCTTTATATACATTCTAAATTATGGATATATATCATCCCTGAACTATGTGTTGATATTCTCTTTAGTCTTGCCATGTTCCCTATTCCCACTCTCTACTTGATTGGAGTGGTTGATCTTACTCATTCCTGAAACCCTTCTGTGGCATATTGCTTACTACTCATTGCTCTTGGTGATCTGGCTTTTGTTTCTTTTGCCATATTTCCCTGTTTCCTCCAGCTTTTATCTGAACTGCTTTGTTTTTACTTTATTCTCCCGTTCTCTGTCTTGTTCATTTCTATTCACCTTTAGAGACATCTCTAGCATTACCGTTTTGGGAAAACCTTCTCTCTCTTACTATTTTTTGTTTTGTTTTTGTTTTTTGGCTCCTGTAAGACTTGGTATTACTGTAGATTTTATCACTGTGGGCTAATGCTATAGTTCGTTTATGTCTCTGTCTCTTGCCCCTTTGATGATAAGATCTTTCATGGCTTATTTTTCCTTCTTTCTCCCAGTTTCTTATGTAGTATCAGGGACACAGTGGGTACTCAATAAATATTAAATAATTTATCAGGTGAATTTCCATGTCTACTCCTACCATGTGTACACTATCGTTGGCTCTGTTTGGATGACGAATTAGCTTCTCAGAATTGAATATTACCTCCGAAAATATCCTTTGTTTTCATACTGAGCTCTTTGTATTTCTCAAATCACATCATGATCTTCCTCCCTTACTGTGGTGTGGTAGGCACCTCTCTGTTTATTGCTCTTAATCTTTGCAGGTCTGAGTCTGCTGGCTACAGACTAAGTCCCCAAAGAGCAGAAATGTTTCCATTTACATCTGTATTCCCAATGTATAAGTAGTGCTTGGTGAGTTAGAGGAATGGGTATGCAGGTTTTAAAGAGGGTTTTTATGTCCCTTTACCTCCCCCATCAAAATCAGCAGCAGATGTTCATAGAGAACAACTTGGCATAGCAATAAATATTTTCATAATGCCAATAGCAACATTTTCTAACTGCTCACAGAAATGCAGCATTAAATTAAAAAGGGAAAGAGGATCTCTATTTCTGTTTCTAGACAGTTCAAGTCTTTCATAGAAGAAGGTAGGTCATATTTGCATAAATATAATTTAATTAACAGAAAAAAACTGGATATGAACTAGTGCTACCTTAGTCCAGGGGCCTTCCAAATATTTTTGCTTGTGTGTTTTCCAAATAATTTGGAAAAAAAGAAAAAGTACTTTTTTTGCATGTTTTTAAGTCGCTAGTATCTGAAATTTTTCATCAAGAGTTTTGATAGTTACAAAGGACCTAATTTCTAAATTGTTGCTTATTGTGATTATGTTTTACTTCTATCAAAACCTTGGAATTTTTGCTTATTAATTGGAATAAACTTGTTCTTATACATCCCTCTGACAGCCATCTTATTTCTTAATTGTAATTCTGTGATAGATAAGGCATGGGGGCTTGTTGTTAATATCTGCCCTAGAAGAAATAAAGCACAGCCTCTTTGAGTAGTTTTTCCCAAATTCCTTTTTGCTTTATTCTTAAGAGACTTTCAGTATTAATGCATTCTTGAATTTCATTTGCTGTATTCAAAGTTTTTTATATCCAGGCAAATGCCGTGTAATAAGATTGTGATGGCTGCAAAAAATTCTTTGGGCAAGTGGGAGAAAATTGTGCGGAAAGAATTGGTTAAGGAAGATTTACAGGATACCGACTTTGTCAGACAAATCAGTTGTAGGAAGGAGTAAACATGGAAGTGGAAGATTTGAAGAATGATAGAGTTCTAGGCCTTGTTTTGTGCCATGGACCCTTTGATAGTCTAGTGAAGCCTGTGGACCCCTTCTTAAAGCAATATTTTAGGGTCTTGTCAATTTCTACAAAAGCCCCTGGGATCCTGACGGGATTGCATGGAGTCCATAGATCAGTCGGGAAATTGGTATCTTAGCAATATTGAGTCTTCCAGTTCGTGGATGCAGTCTTTCCTTTTAAGTCTCCATCCGTTTTTCGTAGCAATTATTTGTTATTTTCATTGTCCAAATCTTATATATCTTGTTAAATTTATCCAATTGGTATTTCATGTTCTTGAAATGGTATTTTTAAAATTTCAGTGTTTGTTTCTTGGATATTGAAATAGACCCCCCCCCCTTTTTAAATGTTCTGTTCTTATATTCTTTAATGCTAAACTCATTTAGTTCTAGTAGCTTTTTTGTAGATTGCTTCTGACTTTCTGTGTACATTTTATTTTGTTCTAATTGTTTTGGCTAGGGACCTCCATTAGAATATTTAATTAAAGTGGTAAAAGTGGTTGTTTTTACTTTGTTCCCAAACATAGGGAGAAAGTTATCAATCTTCTATTTTTAAATGTAATATTAGTTGTAGATATTCAGAGATTCTATTTATCAGGTTGAGGAAGTTTGTTCATTCCTTCCTTCCTTCCTTCCTTCCTTCCTTCCTTCATTCCTTCCTTCCTTCCTTCCTTCCTTGTTTCCATCCATCCATCTATCCTTTTTTTAAAAAGTAGGCTCCATGCCCATTGTGGGGCTTGGACTCACAACCCAAGATTAACAGTTACATGTTCTTTTGAGTGAGCCAGCCAGGTGCTCTGAGGAAATTTCTTTCTGTTCTTAGTTTGTTGAGAGTTTTTATTATTATTATTATTATTTTAAAATATTTATTTATTCATGAGAGACACAGAGAGAGAGACAGAGAGGCAGAGACACAGGCAGAGGGAGAAGCAGGCAAACCCGACGTGGGACTCGATCCTGGGACTCCAGGATCACGCCCAGGCCGAAGGCAGGTGCTAAACTGCCAAGCCACCTAGGGATCCCCGAGAGTTTTTATTGTGAATGGATATTGAATTTTGTCAAAATTTTTTTCTGCTTTTACTGAGATTATTGTATGTCCTTCTCCATTATTCAGTTAATGTGGTGAATTATATGAATTTGTTTTTGCATGTTAAATCAACCTTGCATTCCTGAGATAAATCCTTCTTGGTTATCAGGTTGGATTTATTAGATTTGATGTACTAATATTTTGTTAAGTTGATGAGGGATATTGGTATGTAGTTTTCTCTTCTGTCATTTGTTGTTGGTGTCAGGGCAATACTGACTAAATAACAGGACATAGAAAGTATTCTCTTCTGTGTTCTGGAAGAGCTTGTACTGACCTGGTCATTATGTATTCTTTAAATGTTTGATAGAATTCAACAGTGAACCATTTGAACCTGGAGTTTATTTTGTGGTAAAGTTTGTAGTTTTGAATTGAATTTCTTATAATAGGACTATTCTGACTTTCTGTTCCTTCTTGAGTCAATTTTGGTAGTTTTGATTTTCAAGGATTTTTTTTCCATTTCATTCAAGTTGTTTAATTAACAACTTGGCATAAGATCATTTATAGTATACCTTATTGCTTAAAATCTATAGGATTTAAATAAGATTAAAATCCATAGGATTTCCTCTATTTCCAATATTGGTCATTTGTGTCTTTTAAATTTTTTCTTAATGTAACTAGAGACTTATCTTTTTGAAAGCACAGTTTTTGGCTTCATTGATTTTTTTTTTTCATTTCTCTATTAAAGTAGGGTGTTACATTAAATTCCGTATGTTTGGGGGATCCCTGGGTGGCTCAGCGGTATAGTGCCTGCCTTTGGGCCAGGGCGTGGTCCTGGAGTCCTGAGATTGAGTCCCACATCGGGCTCCTGGCATGGAGCCTGCTTCTCCCAATGCCTGTGTCTCTGCCTCTCTCTCTCTCTCTCTTACTGTCCCTCTCTCTCTGTCTATCATGAATATATAAATAAAAAAATCTTTACAAAAATAAATGAATTCAGTATATTTCATTGGTTTTTACTCTTTTATTTCCTTTTTTCTACTTATTTTGCATTTAATTTTCCTTTTTTTTTTTTTTTCTTTTTTCTGGCTTCCTGAGATGAAAGGTGAGCCTACTGATTGATTTTGGCAGTTCCCCCCACCTCATATAAATATTTAAAGCTGTACATTTTTCACTAATTACTACTTTACGTACATCCCACAGTTTTTTCACTTTTATTCACCTCAAAGTATTTAAACATTTTCTGTGATGTATTTATTTTAGCCCTTGGGTTATTGAGAAGGATTAAATTTCTAAATATTTGCATTTTTTTGTAGATATTTCTCTATTACTGAGTTCTAGTTTAATTTCACTGTGGCCAAATAACAAGTTTTATATTTCAGTAGTTTTCAATATGTTGAGATTTGGCTCACCCTTACTGAGTGTTCCATGTACACATGAAAACAAAATGCATTCTGCTGTTGTCAAGTGGGTTTTTTTGAGTCATGTTGTTTGACAGTCTTCTTTGTTGATTTTTTTGTCTACTCAGTCTACATCCATTTGTTACTGAGAGAACATCCTTGAAGTCTACAACTATAATTGTGGATTTGTCTGTTTCTTTCAGTCATTTTTTTGCTATATTTATTTTAAAGCTCTTATTCAGTATGTACACATTTAGGATTTTATGTCTTCTTTGATGAAATGACATCTTTGTTATGAAATATTGCCTATTCTGTTTGTTATTTTTTTTAACAATTTTTTAATTTTTATTTATTTATGATAGACATACAGAGAGAGAGAGACAGGCAGAGACACAGGCAGAGGGAGAAGCAGGCTCCATGCACCGGGAGCCCGATGTGGGATTCGATCCTGGGTCTCCAGGATCGCGCCCTGGGCCAAAGGCAGGCGCCAAACCGCTGCACCACTCAGGGATCCCTCTGTTTGTTATTAATATGACCACTCTAGCTTGGTATATTTTCACATTCTTTCAGTTTTATTTTATTTTTTTAGATCTTATTTATTTATTCATGAGAGACACAGAGAAAGAGGCAGAGACCTAGGCAGTGGGAGAACCAGGCTCCCTGAAAGGAGCCCCATGTGGGACTCGATCCCAGGATCCCAGGATCATGACCTGAGCCAAAGGCAGTCGCTCACCCACTGAGCCACCTGGGTGCTCGCATTCTTTCAGTTTTAAATCATCTTGTAAAGTGTGTTTAAAGTGAGTTTCTTGAAAGCGGCATATAATTGAGTCTTGCTTTTTAATCTAGTTTGACAATCTCTGCCTTTTAATTGGAATTTTAAATCATTTACACTTAATATTATTTATAGGGATGGATTTAAATCTGTCTTATTATTTTCTGCTTGTCACAATTGTTCTTTGTTCCTTTCTTCCTCTTTTCCTCCTTTTTGTATTCATTTCACTTTAGGATTCCATTTTATTTCCACTATAGACCTTTTAGTTGTATCTCTTATTTTATCCAATTAATCTAGGATTTATAATATGTCTTTTTTTTTTTTTTTTAGATTTTATTTATCTATTCATGAGCGACACACACACACACACACAGGCAGAGACACAGGCAGAGGGAGAAGCAGGCTCCATGCAGGGAGCCCGATGTGGGACTTGATCCCAGGTCTCCAGGATCATACCCTGGGCTGCAGGCAGCGCTAAACTGCTGTGCCACCGGGGCTGCCCTATAATATGTCTTTAATTTGCTCTAATCTATTTTCAAGTGATATTATACTGCCTAACATATAAGAATCTTTCAAAAATACACTTCCATTTCCCTTGTCCTGTTCTTGGTTTGTCATATGTTTTACTTTTTCATATTATCAGCATATTTTTGTTATTTTTGTTTTAAATGATCAGTTATCTTTTTAAGAAATATGAGAAATTTTTTTAGATACTTGCATAATTTTTATTTCTGGTATATCCTTCATTCTTTTTATGGATTCACATTTCCATCTGGTATATTTTTCCTTCTGTTTGAAGGACTTCTTTTAATATCTCTTGTAGTGAATATCTGTTGGCAACAAATTTTCTCAGATTTTGTTTTCCTGAAAAAGTATTTCACATTTATTTTTGAAAGTTGTTTTTCCCATGGTGTATAGAATTCTAGGTTGATAGATTTTGTTTTTTGTTTTGTTTTTGTTTTAGCACTTTAGAGACCTTCATTCAGTTGCCTGACTTGTATATTTTCTGATGAAGAAAACTGGGGAAAATTTTTATCTTTTTTTTCCCTCTATATATAATTTTCCTATTTTCTCTGGCTGTTTTTAAGATTTTTCTCTTAATTACTGACTTTCAGCTACTTGATAGGATGTGTCTAAGTATGGTTTTCTTTGTGTTTATCCTGCATGTGGTTCATTGAATTTCTTGATACTTTGTATGTTTTCATGAAATTCAGGAACATTTTGGCCATTATTTTTTCAAATATCATTTCTCCCTTTTCCCACTCATTTTTGGGATTCATTTATATATGTTAGACTGTGATATTGTCCCACAGGTCACTGAGACTTTGCTCATTTTTTTTTCCTATTCTTTTATTCTGTCTTCAGGTATTACTACTTTTTTTTTTTTTTCCAGTAGACTCCTTGTCCAGTGTGGAACTCATCATGAGCCTTGAACTCATGACCTGGGATCAAGACCTGAGCTGAATTGGATGCTCAACCAACTGATCCACCCAGGCACCCCATGGTTTTACTAATTTTTTTTCCTACTAATCTGTTAATCATATCCTCTGAATTTTTTGTTTGAGATATTTTGTTTTTCAGCTCTAGAATCTTCACTAGGGTTTAAAAAAAATATTCCATTTACTCTCATTATGTTCATGCTTTCTTTGAAATACTTAGACAAATGGTAGCTGTTTAATGTCTTTAATGTCTATAACTCTCATTTGTAGTCTTTTTTGATTGATTTCAATCTTAATTATGAGAACATCTTCATATTCATTCATGGCATGTCTACTAATTATTGACTGCATGCTGAACATTGTGGATGTTACATTATTAGATATCTGAAATTTTTTTGTATTTCTTTCCTGAATATTGGGTTTCATTCTGGTAGACAGCTAAGTAATTTATGATTAGTTTGATTATTTGAGGCTTGCTTTTAGTTTGTTAGGTCAGCTTTAGAGTACATTTTACTCTAAGAACAGTTTATCCTACTACTATGGCATGGTCCTTGTGGGATTTCTGTTGACTGCCTTTAGTGATCAGTGTAGCTGGTGAGAAATTAAATGATTTATAGCTTGGTGTGAACCTGAACTGTTCAGTTTATAGCTCTCTGGTTGGTCCTTGACTGAGCTGGTTGAGTGTCACACCATGTATGGTCATCTTAGTGTTCAAACAAAGCATCAAATTTCTGGAGCTCTTTTTCAGCATATTTCCTTCCCTCTCTGTCTCTCTCTTTCTGTCTCTTTTTTTCTTTCTCTGATTTTCCCCCTTTTTGAAATTCTATCCCAGACCTCCCAGCTACCCCTGCATTCTTGAATTCTAGTTTGTCTCCTCAACTCTTTAACTCAACTAGACTGCTGCTTGGAATTCTGCTCTCTACTCTGGTTTGCGGTGTGCCCCTAGGCAGAAAGCTTGGGGCAGTCCTTGAGTTTGCTTTGTTAATTCACTTTCTCACTAGGATTATATGCCAGTGCTGCCAATTCACTGTTTGAAAATATTTGTTTCCTATATCTGTTTGGCTTCTAGTTGTTCAAGATGAGGGGATAAACTTCAGTGTTTCTGCATCATGACTAGAAATGTGTAAGATTTTAAAAATATTTAATTACCTGTTCCTTCTGCATGTTTTACTGTCTTTTTGCCACCAGTGCTTATTTTTTTAGAAGGTATTCTCAAGTGATTTCATAGTTCAACAGTAGTTTACTCATTTATTTAAGTTAATCTCTGCGCCTATCGTGGGGCTCGAACTCAGGACCACAAGATCAAGTCACATGGTCTTCTGACTAAACCAACCAGGTGCCTGCAACAGGAATTTTTTTTAATAGTGAATAAAACTTTTATAAAATACAAATTTATCGTTTAATATAGCATTAGTTCCTTTTAGGTTTTATTTATTTATTTATCTATTTATTTATTTATCTTTAAGATTTTATTTATTTATTTATTTATTTATTTATTTGAGAGAGAGAGAGAATGCACAGAGGGAGAGTGAGAGGGAGAAGCAGACTTCCCTGCTGAGCAGGGAGCCTGCTGTGGCCCTCGATTCCAGGACCTTGGACCATGACCTGAGCTGAAGGCAGATGCTCAAACAACTGAGCCACCCAAGTGTCCCCTTTTAGGTTTTATATGTTATTTTTAGCATGAGGAAAGATTTAGACTCTGTACACCACTTAAAGTCTTGAGGGTCCATGTTACATAGTTGCACAACATTCATGTCCGTGTCAAGTGTGAATATGTCTTTTCCTGGTCTGTAATAATTGAGGTTGAAAGGAAAAATTTGGTTCCTAGATTTAAATTTGCATCCAAGCGTATTGGGCTCTTTGAATACAAAATCAACATGAAGTTTTTGTCTCTATAGAATTGTTTCATTCACTGTTTGGGGTATATTAAGTTTTTCAGACTAAATAATGAATGTTAAGTGCTTCAACAGGTACAAACAAATGATCAGTGCTTCCCTGTCCCCCTGTGTTTCTAGGTAACTATAACTCAATATTGCAGCCATGGAGTCCATGCTTAATAAGTTAAAGAGTACCGTTACAAAAGTAACAGCTGATGTCACTAGTGCTGTAATGGGAAATCCTGTCACTAGAGAATTTGATGTTGGTCGACATATTGCCAGTGGTGGCAATGGGCTAGCTTGGAAAATTTTCAATGGCACAAAAAAATCGACAAAACAGGTAAGTTTTAATTCAGAGTCCATTTGGCAAGAACATACATGCTAAGTACCATAATGTGCATATGCATCTTTATGTTAAGAAATGCCAAAAGTGGGATCCCTGGGTGGCGCAGCGGTTTAGCGCCTGCCTTTGACCCAGGGCGTGATCCTGGAGACGCGGGATCGAATCCCACGTCGGGCTCCCTGCGTGGAGTCTGCTTCTCTCTCTGCCTCTCTCTCTCTCTCTCTCTCTCTCTCTCTCTCTCTGTGACTATCATGAATAAATAAATAAAATCTTTAAAAAAAATGCCAAAAGTAATGGGTTCTTTTTTTTTTTTTAAATTCTTTTTTTTTAAATTTTTTATTTATTTATGATAGTCACAGAGAGAGAGAGAGGTAGAGACATAGGCAGAGGGAGAAGCAGGCTCCATGCACCGGGAGTCTGACATGGGATTCGATCCCGGGTCTCCAGGATCGCGCCCTGGGTCAAAGTCAGGCGCCAAACCACTGCGCCACCCAGGGATCCCAGTAATGGGTTCTTTACTTCTCGTTTCCATCCAGTGAAGTCATACAAAAATAAATCCTTTAAAACATGCCCTAAATCTAGTTACAAATACATTGTTTAATATATCATCCACATGCCCTAAATCTAGTTACAAATACATTGTTTAATATATCATCCTGTCTTCTATTTTAATTTTGCATACTTAATAAATCTAATGTATCTGTTGAGCAAAGAAGTATATTAGATTTTTTAGCGAAGTGTTTGTTTTAGAATAAAAATCATGTTCCTTTTCAAATTTGTCAATAAGCTAGCTATTAGTTTATTATTACAGACTTTTGTAACATTCTTTTGTGTTTAACATGATATTTTTTATAATCAGAAGGTAGTATGTTTGTGGAATAGTCAGTAATGTGTTTTATGATATATTTATTTCAAAGTTATTTTAAAACTAACTGTTCTTTTAGTAGTCATTTGAATGAGTTATATTTTTATTTTTATTTTTTTAATTTGACTTAAGAGACCAACAGATGGTTCTTAGAAATGTGGAGGATTGTTAGTGTTATATTTTACTAACAGTTTTCTGTTGGGATTGTTAAAGAATTGAAAAACCTCCAGGTTTAAAACCTCTGTAGAAATAACGTTCTTTAAAAAGAAAAATCACTGTTTCCAAAACTACTTTTGTACAAATGAAACATATGGGTTATAAGACGTTTGGGATTAATTACACATAATTTTCCAGTGACTCTGTCCCAGTTATACAGTTGTGGATGTATATGCATTATTTGTGACTTTTCCAAAGCTGGCTTTTTTCCCAAACAACAAGTATATTAAAGACTGAATCAGTTTTGGTTATCCTTTTATGAAGTAAGAATCTTGGTCTTGTGATAGCCTATCAAGGCTGGCATGTGGTTTGTACCTGACCTGTAAATCTTGTTTTTATTGCCATTTGGTTGGAAGTCTTTAGTCCAGGGCTGATCTATATTTTAAATGCTGATTTATTTGTCATTTTTGAACATTGTTTTCTCTCTCAATTCACCAAGAGCCCAAAAAATAAGTGGTTTCTCGAGTATTGAATGCTTCAAAAGCTATTAATGAGTCCATGAAGTTATGTAAATGACCAACCTCTAATACTAGCTTTTATAATCAATTATATCAGGGGAAAATGAAAGAACACCAAATGTACTAAATTTTGCATTATTTATTAATGGTGGAACATAATAGTGTCTGTGTGCTCAGCCAAAAGAGTTCTCAGTGTTTGTGTTTATATTAGAAGTCCGTATACAGAAATTCTCTGATAACGTTGAAACTTCTGTTGCAGTTCATAGAACATGAAAACCAGGCACAAATAATAGGTAATTGATTGGATATTGCATAATAATACATCAGTTCTCAACTGCTAACTGCCAGAATTGGATTCTCTTAGGAAACTGCTTTATTTTACCCCCCAAATTTATTGCTTTGTGGAAAAAGATAGTTTTGAAATATATCTGTGCTTTATGTGGATACAATTTTGAATCTTCTCTCTTTGCCTCTTTTAAACCTAAGGTATCTGAACTGAGTATTCTATTTGGACTATACTAGCTAATTCCTTAAGAAGTAGTTAAGTCTTTAACTACATTGGCATTGAAGCCTCATTTTAATTTCTCCCTTAATTGTAGTTTTAATTCATTTTCAGTTATCTCATTTTTTAGTAAAAGGGAATCATAGAAGATAGATAATCTAGAGCTGTGCTACCCAATATGGTAACCACAGGCTACATATACCTATTTCAATTAGGAAAAATTAAATTTAGTTCCTTAGGAGCACTAGAAACATTTTCAAGGCTCCTTAGCTATGTGTGGCTAGTGTATTACCATACTGGACAATGCACATAGAGAACTTTAAAAAAAATTTTTTTTTAAGATTTTGTTTATTTGAGAGAGATAGAGAGAGACAGAGATATAGTGACAGAGATAGTGAGAAAGAGCACAAGTGAGGAGGAGAGGGAGAAGCAGGCACCCCACTGAGCAGGAAGCCCAACATGGCTCTCCATCCCAGGACCCAGAGATTATGACTTGAGCTGAAGGCAGACGCTTAATTGACTGAGCCACCCAGGCACCCTGCATGTAAAGAACTTTTGATCATCACCAATGTTCTGTACCACAACGCTGATCTTAGAGAAATTGGAAGAAAAATATTGGAAAAAGACATTCTTCTTGGTCCTAACCCCTGCCTCCCCCCATGCATAAAGATACACTGAGACTGTGAGACTGAGGGTATTTTTCTTAACCCTCTCAGCTTTTCTTGATCTAGCATACAGTGTACTTGATTGTGTTTGTGTTTATAGCAGATTATATGATCTTAAATTTGACTTTGAGGTAACATCAGGTTAGGGACTTAGGCTGGGAGATTCTTTCTGTGTACTTTTTGCTAGGGTTATTTCAAGTTCACAGTAGTACAGTAGTACAGTAGTACATGATGAATTATAATTTTCAGATCATGTACAACTTTTGCTTTTTTAATTTAAATGTTTGAAGGCTTCTGAGAGGAATGGAGTAAGTAATAAAAGCACCTACAGAGCAGATAAAAAAAATACACATATACAAAACCTGGAGTGTAGAAAGATAAAAAAAAAATTGGCAAATAAAAATTTACTTTTGTGCCTGGTAACATCATTGTACCTCATTAGGCATCTGTGTTATTATTATCCTGGCTTTATGCTTCCAAAACCCAATTTCTGTTGTTTCTGTTTTTGAAAGACATTCTTTGAAGAAACATCTCCTGGTAAGTAATTTATGAAAGTGCAATTAAGAATTCCTAAGAGTCCTAAGTTTAAAGTTGATTTTTTTTGCAGTTAAATAAGGTGTTTAGGCCAGTTAGGTATACAAACTTAAGATTTTTAAAAGTTATTATTTGGGTAAACTTCACATGTGAACATGCTGAAATGGATAGATCATTAATTATAGCCTCTTAGCATTTGAAGCTACTATTTAGGTTTATGTTTATTTAGATTTCTTCTTGAGTGTTCATTTAGAAGCAGCTCTTGGTTCCCAACCATTATTCTTTCTAGAATCTCGGTAGAGACGTCATAAAACACTTCAGGGTGACATTTAGGGAATAAAGATTGTGTCTATTTAGCATATTTTTAAAATATAAGCATATTTTTAAGAACTTTTGCAGAGTAGTGCACAAATTATCAGTGTAGAGCTTGATGAATGTTTACAGTGAGCACACCTGTGATCAACATCTGGGTCAAGGAAACATTGCTAATATTCATGGCTTTTCATAGTCATTACCTCTCCACACCTTCTCTTCAGAGGTCACTGCTATCTGATCCTTTGACTCTAAGTAAAAATTACTCTAAATAATTTTTCCTATTTTTGAACTTTAGGGTTGTATGTGTGTGTGCGTTGCATGTTTGTTTACTTTTGAATTTTATTTAAGTGGAATCATACTGTGTACTCCTGTTTGGCTCCTTTTCCTTAAATGTATTTTCATGGGATGCATGTATGTTGCTGAACATAGCAGGTTTTCTTTTTATTAAAATATAGGATATTGCTATGAACATTCTTGTATATGCCATTGGGATATATAACACATTATTTAGACATGGAATTACCAGGTGATAGTGTTTCTATTTGTTCAGTGCTAGTCTTTCTAGAGTGGTTGTTTCAATGTATACTTCTATCAGCAGTTAGTTTCTTCACATTCCTGCCAACTCTTTTTATAGTTAGTCTTTTTAGGCATTTTGAGCAGAGATTCTTATACTTATTTTTTATTTTTTAGTGTAGTTGACACACAGTGTTAGATTAGTTTCAGGTGTGCGATATAGTGGTTTGACAAGTCTATACATTATGCCGTGCTCACCACAAGTGTTGTTAACCTTTTGTCACCACACAGTGCTGTTATACTATTGGCTATATTCCCTATGCTGTACCTTTTATCCCTGTAATTTATTCATTCTGTACCTGGAGGACCATACCTCCACTCCCTTTCACCCATTTTGCCCATCTCTCCATTTGGCAACCATCAGATTGTTCTCTGTATTTATGGGTCTGTTTCTGCTTTTTGTTTGTTTATTCATTTGTTTTGTTTTTTAGATTCCACATAGAAGTGAAATCATATATATTTGTTTTTCTCTGTCTGACTTATTTCACTTGCCATAATACCCTCTAGGTCCATCCTTGTTGCAGATGGCATGATCTCAGGGTCTATTTATTTTTGAAAATTCATTGAAATATTCGTTATTCCTCTACCTCCTAAACTTTTATATTGTCTGGTAGGTAATTAATTGCTGGGCATAGAATTTATAATGTTGTGTTTCTGTTACAGCTTTATAACTGAATTAGTCTTTCTACAGAGTAGCATGTTTAGGATTAAAATGGTACCTAACCATAAGTGTTCTTTTCAAACATATTCTTATTTCCATTGTAAATAATATTTATTTTAGAGAGATTTCTGAGATAAGTGCCCTTAATTGGATTTAATTACCTTTTCTAATTTTTTTTTAAAGATCTTATTGATTTATTCATGAGAGA